ACTTTGTGAGACTAGATGGAGTGCGCATCACGATGCGGTAAAACCAATCCTCCAAAACTTTAAAAAGCTGGTTGATGCTGTGGAGAAACTACGCGATCCTTCAGAAAATTTAGATACAAGGGGAGCAGCGGAATTGCTGATGACCAACATTTGTAATTTTAATTTTCTTTCTTTTTTGCACTTATGGTACCACATTTTGGTAGAGGTAAACCATGCACAAAAGTACCTTCAAATCAAAGGTATTAGCTTGGAAAAGTGTTTGCTGAAGCTTAAAACGTTGAAAACATTTTTAGAAGAGAGTAGGGAAGAGCTGACAGACAAAGCTTTAGAATATGGAACAAAAACTTGTGCGGAAATGGACATCGACTTGGAACGGAGACAACGCAAACGAGTAAAAAAAATGATGCCAGGAGAAACTGCTCAAGATGCAGGTTTGACCCCACAACAAGAGTTGAAACGCTCTATGTTAGAGTGCATCGACAGATTTCATGAGGAACTAGAAAAACGACTAACATCAATGGAAAATGTTTATGAACAATTTGCTGTTGTGCACTCAGAAAATCTTGCAAAACTAGAAGACGACCAAACTATGATGACTTATATAAACCGATTCACCACTGCTTTCGACGATGTAGAGGAACAAGAGATGTTACCAGAAGTAAAAAGACTGAGACGGCATCTGAAGGCTTCCAGCATAGGAACTGATGTTGCAGCCTCGTGGACATCACTGAAAATGCTACAATTTATTATTGAAATGGACTTTCGTGAATCGTTGCCAAACATAACAGAGGCACTTAAACTGTTTCTAACCATTTGTGTATCTGTGGCTTCTTGTGAGAGGAGTTTTTCCAAACTCAAATTGATAAAAACTTACCTACGCTCTACAATGAGCCAATCTCGTTTGACAAGCTTGGCTTTGCTATCTATTGAAAATGAGACTGCAAAACGTGTAAATTTTGATGAAGTAATCAAGCAGTTTTCTGAAGTTAAGGCTCGAAAAAAAACATTTTAATGTGTTTCTCCTCGTATTTTCATTTCACTGAAATACTGGAATGTCGTTTTTCTCCAGTTTTGTATATACACACTTTCTTGTAATTTTAGAATAAAATTTGAACATACCAATTTATGTTGTCTGTGTTCTGTATCTGTTACCTTCATCTTACTTGCTACTAAATTTATATTGTTTATTTATATTGCTCTTGATACTAATTTATTTGATACAGAATAGAAACTTTAGTAACTATAACTAGTAATATAATTTTTTATTACAGTAGCAGTAGTAAATAATGTATAACTATCTAAATTTAATAATCGTACACAAACACATATATATGTATATATATATGTATATATATATATGTATATATATATATAGGCCCCCTCATGAATAACCGCCCCAGGCCCCCAATTGTGTCGGTACGCCACTGAAATTGGGAAGCAGGGTCGTGCAGTTCTCGTATAGGAGTGATACAGTTTAGGGCCGGCGCGCACTATCCCGACCACGACCACGACCACGACTCCGACTGGTCGGATACGACCAGTTTTATAATAGGAATAAATGGAACAGCGCGCACTGGTCGACTGGTCGGACCCTGGTCGGGCCCTGGTCGCACGACCAAAATTTTCCAGTTTGGTCGGGCCCGACCCGCTGGTCGTTGCAGCCAAAAATAGCACACAATGTAATGGGACGACGCGCACTACCCCCGACCCGACCAGGACACCACTCAACCCCCAGTATTCATAGACCAATCAAATGGTGAGCACTAGCTTTTTGCGCCGGTCTGTGAAGTGACTCATTTGGTAAAATGTCGCAGGATTTTGACACTTTTGAAACCTGTCTTCTTATTGACGTAGCTCTTCATAAAATGTTGCAAAATGCCCTTTCAGACCTGACAGTTAACATTGGATATACCCAGTATAGTGTCTTCTTCCGCTTAACGTACTTACAATACAAATGCACAATAACAACTACTTCTTCAACAATCATCTTGACACTGAAGTTTGTAAAACATTCGTTGCCTTGGTCGGGTCGTGCTCTGGTCGCATGATGAATGACAACCACTGGTCGGGCGTTTGGTCGTGGTCGTGGTCGTGGTCGAGATAGTGCGCGCCCGGCCTTTTATTGTGTGAACATGTTGTGAAATATTAGGATTTGAGTTCTGAGTCAGATTCAGGTGCTGATCTAGATTTATTGTTACTTCTTCACAAGAGAACAAGAAAGAAAGGGCGAAAAAATTGGCAATGTTTAATGTTTTTCGTATTTTCTCCCAAATTTCATTCTTGCAATTACTATTTGTTACTATGACCACAGACAATATAATACCTTATGACTGGTAACGTAAAAACTGGATAAAAATGCACAATTTCTATTAATTATCCTCTAGATCCGTCACAAAACACTAGTAAAGCGTAAACCCGGCGCAGGTGAGCAATGCGACACAGACACTTGTACTCGACCACATGTGCGCGCAGTCCACGTGCGGGACTGCCCTGCCCTGCCCTGCGCTGCGCCATAATATGCGCGTTTCCTAGCGAACATGCGGTTTACAAAACACTGCCCTGCGCTGCTCCGACTGCGTCTCAATATGCGCCGGGCCATAGAGGTAACTCATCGCCTCATCAGCAATCAGTTCATCAACATCACTACTTAGTTTTCTTTTTCTACTTCCCACAACACCAAAATCTCTCAATACTCTCCACTCAGCCAACCTTTCACCACCTCTGTTTTTTACCTTTCTTCGCAACGGTCGTTTTTTATTTCCTATAATACCACACCCGTAAATAAAAAGAAACACACGAAATGACTTTCTACATTTGTAAGTCAGTAGAACTACGAATTATTACTAGGGAACTCTAAACGTCACTGGACTTGTGGATACAGCAGACTAAATAGGTTGCTAGCCTACAACATAACCTCACAGTTCACAATAATGTCTAGGATGGAATTGGCGCGTTTTTTCAACATTATCACGTGACTTGCGAAAATAAGAAATACAAGGTGTAGGGGTGGGGCGAGTGCAATGTGTCTCGTGGTTACAGTGTGTACGGCCGAGATGTCGGCCAAGGTGGGGGGTAGGGTTGCTATCTATGCTGTGATCGACCTAGAGGCTTAGGAGATTGCGTTCCCCACAGAATTGCATCATGTCTCGGTGGTGTAGTGGTTATCGCACCGGAGAAACGTTCTAAAGGTTACCGGCTCGAAACCTCCGGAGGCACAAACTTTATGATTCGATTTCTTCATTATCGTTATAGTTTATAGTTTGGATAGGTTATGACAGTTTGATTTTATAATTATAAATTATATAATTGAATTTTAGGCATTTAAAATTTTATTTTATAAATATAACAATTGTTTATACCATCAGACTAATTCGCTCAAATACATCTGTAAATATTAGTTAAATTATGAAATTTGCCCGTTATCACATGAAACGAATATAATTTAATGCCTTAAATGTATATATTGTATTTAAAGATTTTATATTTATACTAAACTGTATCTCGTTTCCAATCATTGCGTGGGACAGGAAGGCTCTGGCATATCATTTATATTGATTGTACACATTTTGGTTTTGTACTTATATCAGTATAGAACTAAGAAATAGTATTTGATAAATTTATAACATATTTTATACGTGTATTCAAATTTAAAATGTATTCAACACCACGCCATTTCTTACTGTCCCCAGTTCATTTCCTTTCTTTCAATAACTATAACTATGACAACAATAATCATAACAATAATTTCGTAACAATATTTGTTCCACATTAAATCAAAAAAGCTATAAAATTAGTAGCGCATGATGAATGTAGAACCATAATAACCTGATTTGAACTCCCGCCAAATGCGCGAGCGTGCTGCTATCTCACGGAGATCTGCCAGACTACTACGCCGAAATACCGCCGCGACGCGCAGCAAAAACATGCATTTTCTTAAACCATATCACGTGCACAGTTTACGTCGGATCTTCTTGAAACAAACTTTATTCGATAGATAATTAAATTTTGTAGGGGGTTTGCTTTTTCGAATTTCAAATATTCCTTTAGAAAATCCTCCACAAATTTGTAAACTTAAACAAGCGTATTTTTGCTATAATTATTTTAATATTTCTTTAATCAAAAAAATAAAAAGCAAACCCCCTGTAGATTTGTATTCTCTTTCCAATGACACATCAAACGTAGTTCTATGTTTAAAAATAACGGCGCTATATGGTTCAAAAGATTACATTGTTCTTATGGGGCATCAATCCAATATGGCCGACTGCTACTGCCCACTCTTAAGGGTAAGGTGGGGGTGGGGGGTAACTAAAAATTTTCAAATGACAACCCCCATCTTGTGACCCCTCATTTTAAAGGTCATTGGAAGACAAATCCAAAGATGTGTCTGAAAAATTTTTTTTGCACCCTATCCAAGATGGCGGTTTAAAATGTACTTAGGGTTGAACGGGTAAATTAGGTATGGCGCACATTTCTTATCTTTTTTACTCTTTGTACATAGAAGGAATTAATTTGCGGGACTGAGTAAGAACAAATGTTTGGCACTTTTTCATCATTTTGAAAAATAATTCCCCTTAAGGGTAAGGTGGGGGTGGGGGGTAACTAAACATTTTCAAATGACAACCCCCATCTTGTGACCCCTCATTTTAAAGGTATTTGGAAGACAAATTTAACGATGTGTCTGAAATTTTTTTTGTATCCTGGGGGTTGTCATTTGAAAATTTTTAGTTACCCCACACCCCCACCTTACCCATAAGGGGAATCTTTTTCAAAATGATGAAAAAGTGCCAAACATTTGTTCTTACTCAGTCCCGCAAATTAATTCCTTCTATCTACAAAGAGTAAAAAAGATAAAAAATGTGTGCCAGACTTAATTTACACACTGTATATTGAGTTAAAAAGGTATCTGAAATTTTGAGGTTAAAAAAGCAATCAATGTTAAGCAATTTTTATATCAAAAACGAAGCAAAAGTCTATTAAAGTTCACTGTGATGTTTGTGTAGACACATCAAGTGCACTGTCACACAGTAAAGAAGTTCCTTCGCAAACATCATCGTTCATCTTACAACGGGTGGAAAGACTGTATGGTCCCGGTGCTCTAGCGCAGGGCTTCTACACACGCCGGTCTCACGGCAGCTCAGCGGCAACGACACCACATGTGAGTTCAAATTTCTTATAAGTCTGAAATAAAACATTTAATGTTTTAGGTTATGTTATGGGGGGTGCCCTTGGTGCCCAAAATGAAGCCCATGCCAAAAACTTATTGAAAATTTGTGTAAAAGACAATCATTGTTTGTGGATATCTACACATAGTAGCCCAGGCACTTTAGGTAAAAAAAATTGAACAAATTAATAACTAGCAGATTTTTTGTGTGGTGATAGTATGTTATTAGGAACCAAAGTATTTTTTGAAAGTTCCACTCACTTCCTCCGCACAGGTTTAGATAGAGTTTAAGTTATGTAAAAATACAAAAATCGTTATTGATTGACACCAATGTCACCGATTTCAGTGGTTTTAGTCTTAAATCATTCAGAATGAAAGTGGTCATGCAGAATAATTACCACAACTATTATTCTTAAAACTTTAAGGTGTTTTTATATTTTATTTTATATATTTTTATTTTTAGTTAATTTCCCTATAGCTGTTACCTGTAGCTATTACCGTAGGTGGCACGGTAAGACCTAGGCCCGGGACTGATTTACTTTTTCATTTTGATGTCCCCAGAGGCCAAAGACACTATTCTTTAAAATTTATATATATAGGTATATATGTGTCTCTGATCGCAATAACTTGAGTATTTTTTGTCCAATTTGGTAGGTGTAAGGCGGGATAAACTTGAATGAATTCGCGAACCAGCATAATCGGACCATGGGAATATTGTTTTACGGGGTAAAAATTAGATTTTCTCATTTTTGAACCTCAAAACATAAAATTTCCCAATTTCTCTCTAATTCTTTTTAAAGAGCTTAAAAAAATTTGAATATCAAAGTATTAGTATTGCAAATGTGAGGTTTTTATACTTAAGGAGGTTAGGAGGCAGGAAATGAATGAAACATATTGCATGGTGGAAACATAAAATTTTTATTTTCTTCTTGCTTGCAGTCTTGAAGCCAGTCAACAGGCCCTAAAATTGTCATATGTTAATTGATTTGTTTATAATCTTTTTATATTAAGTTCTATTAAAAACTTGTTGTAATTTAGCCATTTAGTTATTTCAATAGTTATAAAAATGAGAAAGAATGTCTTGATAATTTTTTTTTCTTCTTTCTTGCAGTTGAGGCAATTCACAAGCTGTCAATATGATATGAAAATGAAATAATATACATAAATGACATTTTGTTTAATAATTTACTATCAAGTAATGTTATAAATACAGATAGGTAGAAGTTAAAACAAAAAAATCCAATGATTATTGATTTTTGGCCCGACCCGACCCGAGCCAAAAAGTCTGACCCGCAGACCCCTTAATTATTAAGTTAGTATCCACACCATTACAGCATTCCTTATAAAATTTAACTATAATTTAGGCAAGTTGTGCATCTGCCACAATGTTTCATCTTTTGAGATCCGCTCAATAAATAACTCGCCATTCCTTGAATGGACAACAAAATCGCACCATTGCCTTTGAGAGATGTCAATTTGTCCTTGCCAATGTTTCGGGATCTGGAATCTGATCCTGTCCCCGGTTGAAAAATGATAACTAACACATTACAACTAACAATACACAAAAGCCAAACCTAAGTTGGAATACACTACAGAGAGTATCAGTCAAGTATATGCACTGTATAGCAGTCAAGTCATGATACAAAATGCAAAAATAACTAATCACAAAACACAAAAACCTATATAAGATGTAGGGTAAATAGCTTACACAATGGAATACTAATCACACAGTTCGCAATGACTCCACCAATGAGACTAAAGCATCATGGCCGACCAATCCGAAACACTGAGGCATATACTTGACTACTACTCTCTGTTGTGTATTCCAACTTTTGTGTATTTTATTATTTATTTCCCAACTGTTTACAACAGTTACAAAATGGATACAATGTTAACAAGATGGCTAAATATTTATATAGCCTAACAGTACTAAGTGGTAACAGTAAGAACATTATAAAAAGAATAACAAGTAATAAATTAGTACTATATCAATAATAACAAAAGTAACAGGAAATAGTGATAACAATAATAATTAGAATCGGCAGTGAATGATTGTTTTAGATAAATTGAGACAATGTGGTCTGGCAAACAATGAAAATTTTATCGAATAGATAACATAAAGTAGTGATATTTTGGCAACAACAACAAGAATAATTGACTAGAGCTTGTGAGAGGTATTGTTGGTTATATTGTTAGTTGTAATTATTTGTTAAGTCACCTGAACACGGGATCAGATTCCAGATCTTTTGTCAGCTGATTAAAAGATATCAAAGAAAATTACATACATTTAATTTGGTTCAATGTTTTGATTCTGAAAACTCGGACCTTGACACAGTTTCAACCTATTTTTCAAACTTTTAATGCAGTAATAACCTTATGGGTTACATTATTTAAAAGTTATGAAAGTGCAAGTTTTTTACCTAAACTTGTTTACCAAGTTTTATAAAGATATCTTAAACAGTTTTTGAGAAATAAATTGAAAACATAAAAACAAAATAGCAGATATATGGCAACGAGGCAATTTTTGTAAATGTATCCCTAATTTTTGTTTCATTTTGACCCAATTCAGACAAAAATTCTTTGCACTTACTTACAGGAAACCCTGTATATAACGATCTTCTCATAAATTAAAATGTAACTTCATCCTAGTTGGAATTAGTATTATCTATAGTCAACTCAGAGAAATAAATAAGTAACATATTGCATTGTTTTTTCTAGTATTTTTAAAATTGCTTTTCTCTGACAATTAATTTCCTTTTAATCATTCCAGCACATTATTTATTAGGATTTGACTTTTATGTCTGTATACAGCCGATTTAAAGTTTAAGTAAAATAATATATTTAATATTGGCCTACATAAAATGTTTAAATGTACTTTCAAGTTGTTAACCAAATTTATGTTTACAATACAGTCGAACCTTGTTAGTATGAACCTCGGTAAAATTCCTCGATAAGACAAATTTTTTTAATCCACTTGAAACTTTCGTAAAGGCCAATGCTAAAAACACCTCTGTACAACGTAGTAATTAGGTTAAAAACCTCCATATGACGAACTTGTTTGTGACATGGGCTTGGACTGATTAACCTCTACACTACGAATATTCTTGGCCCAAAACCTCTACAAGATGAATGCGACCACTATAAGACAATTTTCTCATGATTTTAACCTCCATTGTATGTAGTTTTCAAAACAAACAGAAGTTTTTCTCAAAATGAAACCCTCTCCCAACCCTCTTCCTTCCTCTGTTATTATTTTGAGAAAGACAAAAAACATCCTCCTGTTTATTGACAATTGTAGTGCACACGGAACTGTTCCAAACTTGTCAACCATCTCAGTCCAATTTCATCCCCCAAACACCACACCAAAGCTCCAACCACTTGACCAGGCAATTATTACACATTTTTAAGTGAACCAAAGAAAGAGGTTGTTTGGCAGTTTTTGACAAATATGGATCAAGATGTACTGACTAAAATCAATGCTTTAAATGCAATGTTTATGATTAACAAGGCCTGGTCTAACGTGACCGACAAAACTGTTTCTAACTGTTTAAAAAAATGTGGATTTCGTGTGACGGACCTCGAAGATGAGGACGATGACCACCACCCCACCCCACACTACTAACACCAGCACCCCTAAACGCAGAAGTAGGCCCAGATCAAAATTGGAACAAACTTTAACTTACTCCTTGATTGAAATTTCCCTTTTTGCTAAATTATCTTTTTGCGATATTCATTTGTTTCAAGATTCTAATATTGTACCATAAGTTTGGTTTTCATTTATACTGTATTGTATTTTGACTTCAGATTTGTTTTTATTTTACCATACAGTACGTGGTTTACAAGCAGTTTACTGTTTGTTTTCATACTTAAGTGATTTATACATTTAAACAAATATTTTTAATATTGCTAAAACATTTAAAAACAACCATGTTATTACCTATTCCTTCATTGACAAAATAACTAATAATAATAATAAATCTTTATTGTCGTTTGGTAATATAAACATTACAATAGACAAGGTCAACATGTTTTGTTACATATGTTATATAAAATATTAAATATTCTACAGAAAATGTTAAAATAAAGTTAAAAGAATCTTAAAAGGATAAAACATCAGTAATAATAAAAACTTTAAAATTAACAGGGAAAAGACCATAACAAGAACAAAGAATCATCAAGACTGCTTGGCCTCACATTTAAGCGTTGAAAAATCTTCATTCTGCAAAAACTCATCAACTGAATAAAAAGCACGACTTGTAAGCCAATCTGATAATTTTGACCTATACAAATGAATACTTTCCTGATTTCTAAAATATATTGGAAGTTTATTAAATAGTTTTATTTGCAAATATTTATAACTTTTGATAAATTTTGATAGCCTGGCTTGAGGAATATATAAATCTTTTGATTGTCTGGTGATATACCCATGGATTGAGTTGCAAGGAACAAATTTATTCAGATTCTCTTTAACGGAAACTAAATTGTAAAAAAATGAAAATATTAGAGAGTGTCATGATTTTATTTTCAGCAAAAAATGCTTTGCAACTAACCCTATCCGGAATTTCAAACATAATTCTGAGAGCCTTCTTTTGCCATGTAAAGACCCGGTGAGCTCCTGAGCTATTACCCCACAGTATATTGCCATACAGCAAGTGTGAGTGAAATAAACTGTGGTAAACAATTAGAAGTGTTGTTTTAGAAACACAATTTTTAAGTTTTCTTATCAAACAACATACTCTTGACAATTTTGAAATGGTATTATTGGTATGTGTTTCCCAAGTGAGTTTAGAGTCTATGGATATTCCGAGTAGTTTGACAGAAACTGCATTGTCTGCTTCAAGATTACGCAAAGTAAAACAAATTTTTTCTGTTTTATCATGATTTATTTCCAGAAAATTACTTTCAAACCACAGCTTACCCAATTCAATGGCGTTTTCTATACTTTGGTTTGCAGAGTAAAAGTTGTCAGCTGATGAGATGAAGGTTGTGTCGTC